CTGTTTGACGCTCCAGCTGCATTGTCGGGGACAAATAGTTGCGGGCCAATCTCTATGTATCCGTTCGGGATGTTTTGACGCTGGGTCGATGGAACTGATTGAACGACGGATACACCGTCGCGTGGAGCTACAGCTACCTCGTTACGTTGAATTGTAGGTACACGAGCAATACCTGAAATAATAATAATAATAATAATAAAGAAAAAAAATTTAGAAACTAAATAAATTTACTTCAGAAAAAAAATTATCATATATTAAATGTTCTGTACATACCATGCACGTTTTTCTTATGGCGTAACAAGTTAGACTTGTCGGAAAATGTTAAAATGCAAGATGAGCAAGAGAGCCGGACTGAATCATGCGTTTTCTCGTGCCTAGTCAAATTACACTTACGGTTGAAAGACGAAGGACACTTACCACAAAGAAACATGTTATATATTTTTAAAGTAAGAAGCGAGAAAAATATAACAGGTATATTATACTTGCTAAATAAAAATAATGTTAAACACTTTGAAAAATCTCGGATTTAAAGACTAAGAGTCACAAAGGCAGCGAATTTGAAATACGTGTACACCAGGACAAAGTAATGGATGCACACTGACCAACCATAGGCACTTGCCGAGGTAAGGTAGCCGGCGCCCGGTGATCTCAAACATGTTTTGTGGTGGTGGTAATATTTTAAGCCAAGTATTACTAAAATATTATTTAGAAAATGGCCATGATAAATCTGTAATTCGAGTAAGATTTCAAATTATTTTGGGTAACATTTTCTATAGAAAAAAAATTGTTGTTATGTTATCCGGACTTGATACGTGTGTGGTCTTCAACAATAGATTTTCTCCCCATTGTATCTCTACATAATACAMCGTCAAAAATAGTTGCTAACATACCAAGAAATGCGACCATATGCTACTTTAAAATTTACTACTAACATAGCCAGCTAACAATATATTTATAAATATTAATATAGTTTGAAAATATAGAATGCGTGGTTTTAAAATAAATATATATATATTTTAAAAATAATAAATAAATCAGTTATTACTCCCCCCTCCAAAACTTTCATATGCATCCATGTGCCGGTTGAGCTCTTCATCATCTTCATATGTATCCATATAACGATTCAACTCCTCTTCATTTCCGTCATCAAACCAATCCATTTCTAACGGCCGCTCTCCAGAATGTCGCGTTGTGTTTATAATTTCACCGAAAATT